TAATAATAATGAGAAGAAGAAGAAGAAGACGAAGAAGAAGAAGAAGAAGAAGAAGAAGAAGAAGAAGATTATTATTATCATTATCAATTATTACGTAGGAGCAGCAATCGGGAAAAATCGAGAGCCTTGACCTGAACCTGAGACTTGAGATGTGCAAGACAACCGAGACAACCGAGAAATGTTGCATTTGACTTAGCCTTCTTCCTTTCCTGTTTCCTTGACCTAGATATCGGCATAACAGCTAAAACAACCTTCGCCCCCCTCCCCCCCTCTCTCTCTCCTTCTCTCTCTCACTCTCTCTCGTTCTGTTCACCCTTATCCATACTGCCGACTGAAAGAGAAAAACCCCCTAGAAAATGCAAATCTTGATTACACCACCTTCTTTTGTTTTTACAAAATCGACGTAATGTGAGAGAAAAATGATCACATACTATTTCATAGTGTCTTGCATTGACATCTCTTTATTCAATAAATGCAAATAATGGTATGTAATTTTATTCTGATTTGACTGCCTGGACGGATTTTATAGCTAGATTTATTTCATTTATTCTAACTTACTATAAATCGTGATATTGCTACTTACTAGGTTTTTGTTTTTCGAAGATATGAACAGCAGTATAGGGCCGTGTGCAAACAACTTGCGTCAGATGCCAGCAGAATGAACTGACAGAAAATAAAATGGTTTAATAAATAATAATAAACATAATAACCAAAAAAAAAAAAAATGTTTTCTGACTCTGGTGCTATCGTGCATGCATTCTACCTTTCAGTAGAGAACCCACTTCTTTCTTTCTTTCTTTCTTTCTTTCTTCCTTCCTTCCTTTCTTCTTTCTTCTTCAAGCTATTTATAACGAGTCATCTCGTTCCCATTGCTTCTTGCTCGGTAAAGCTTTGAATATATAGACGTTGTTGGCTGCCTCTATGTCAGCTCAGAAGGGTTATATAATTATACTTTAAGACTGGTGTGGAGAAATTTCTTCCCAGTTGTGCATTGTCTACTCCTTGTGTGTGTGCAGTGTCGAGACCTCTCTGAACCAAAGACATGTCTGAAAACGGTGAGAGTTTTGGTGTGTTTTAAAATTTTAGTTTTGATTTTGATTTTAAAAAAAAATAGTAGAGGGTTTTACGGCGCTCGCAACTGCATAAGGTCATATGAGCGCCAGTTTAAGATTGACTTTTCCTTTTCATAAGCGTATCT